CGGCCTCTTTTCGAACAAGAATATCTGCCACACCGAGTGTAAATCCATGATACTGTAATAAAAAAATTAATAATCAGTGAAACCAAAAGGTAAATACTCAAGAAACCACCACTGGCTCGTCCAGGGAAGGGGAGAGGGGTCTTTCTCTCCTCTCAAGGGCTCAGGTAACAGCTGTTTTACTGTAGAAAACTGTCCGATATCCCCTGTCACCGCAGTTTAGGGCTGAGTAGCGAGGAGCGGGGAGGGGGGTAGTGGGACGACCGAGAGGAGGAGGGGAGGGAGGGGTAATTGGGTGTTCGAAGAAAGGAGGGGAGGTGGAACTTCCTATGTAATGGACGAACAGGGAAGAAAAATCCCCTTCCCACCCCACCCTCTTCCCCTCCCCGCCCCCTAGGAAGTCGCCCTGGATCCCCCTGTGGAAAACACAGACAGAAAGTAATACAGAACGGCTAGAAAAAAACAAAAGTGAAGTTTCCAGGCGTTAAAATTTAAGCATGAAAAACCCCCTCCTGCCTCTCTACTAGAATTTTTATAAAAAAAAAAAACAGCAGAAATGAATCCTTCACATAAAATTACTCAAAACGATGCCGTAAATCGACAACAAACCTGAAGATGAGTTGTGAAAAGTCGCGACAGGCAGCTCAAGATCCTTATGGCATGTCGATGGCCGTATAAATCCCAGCAGCAATGTATTAGGCCGTATTGAGTGCTTCCATAGTGCTGTTTATCCAGGACTCCAACCAATAATTCTGCCTGTCTAAAATTTTGGAAATTGTCGATTTTTTGATTGTATTTTATTAAAAGCATAATGATTTATTGCTTTTTGCTAAAAACTGCGTAAAGAGCCATTGCATCATCATGATGCAACACCTGACTGAATGTTTGGACATCCTACCCCTTTAGCGTTATGCGGTCTTTGTGATCTGTGGTCACACCGAGTATAAAACCACTCCTTCCCATTTCCAACTCCAAGTGTGTTTTGTTTCTCCCTCAGACTACCCTATTCTGGGGAGCTTCGGCTCCCCAAAGGCTCGCCACATTTCATTTATTGTTCGCCCCTCGTATTTCAAGTACTTCGTATAGCTCTATAGTCTGTTGTATATAATTATAAATATATAGCTACCACTAGGTGTTGCATCATACACACACACACACACAAACATACACACACCCACACACACACACACAAACATACACCCACATACGCACACACACACACACACAAACATGCACACATACGCACACACACACGCACACACGTACGCACACACTATACACAGTTCATCGCAAAAACACACACACACACGTACACATACACGCACACGCACATACGTACCCACAAATAAACATACACCCATACGTAGGGTACGCACACGAGTCTAACCCACAGCCTTTAAGGTCGCTATATGATAAATATTAGCAGTAATGGATAGCGGACTAATACCCTTATAAAATACAAAAAGGTACTTAAACACCTCTTTTCAAAAGCCGCAAGTAAATTTTTCTATCATACAAAAGCCAGTCCAGGTTTAGAGGCCTATGTAACCCAAGTACGAAACTACAGGATCAAGAAAGTTACGTGGTTTTCGACCATATGCCGGGATTACCATCTAAAATCAGCTCTCTCCCTACGTTTTAATCCAAAATGAGGAAAGCAAATACGAGCACACTACCAGTACTTGCTGCAACTGAGCCCCATGCATTTGTATGGGGCTCGAAAAAATTGAAATTTTATTTTTTCAACAACCTCTCTGAACCGTTCGCGCACTTCAAATTCCGAAAAGAAAACGGAAAGAATGAGGAAAACCTGAAGATAACTTCGGATTCGCTCATATTAAATTCGGGCATTTCGCAGCCATCAACTTTCCAGCATGACAGTGGCGTTTTCGCTTTACTCCTCAGATTTAACAACGGCTTATCCAGCGGTATACAATTCCGCAGTATTGTACTGATAATCTAAAACAAAAAACTGTTTTACCGTTGGGGTGTAATGAAGCATTGAAGTGCACAGGAAAGGTTGTTTTTAGATTTGTAAATAAAAAGAAAAATGGAAATAACAATGACAATAATAATAACAATAATAATGGCAGTAATAGTAATAATAATAATATTGATAATAGCAACAATAATAGTAATAATAACAGTAACAATAGCAGTAATAATAATAGTAATAATAACAGTAATAATATTAATAATAATAATAGTATTAATAGCGATAGTAATAGCAATAGTAATAATAACGATAATAACAAAAATAATAATAATAAAAATAATAACAACAGCAATAATAATAACAATAATACTGACAATAACAACAACAACAATAATAATAGTAACAATGATAATAGTCGATAATAAATGACGGTGATAATGTTATCTAGTTGTATTACAGCAAGGACAACAAGAGCAACAACAGTGATTACTACTTCTAGCACAAATACTACTATGATTACTTACCGCTACTTATAAAATGCAAGAACTCGGCATCAACCGCGCTAAGTGACTGACCAGCAAAATCCCGTAAAAATCAAAAATTGTGAAAAACACGATTACCTGCTTGCCGCTCCATAGCCTCCTTGGTTTAAGCATTGCTGGTGGTGGGATGATCAGTCGCTGAGTGGTTTCGGCGAATGCGGAGAGCACCAAATGCATGAAATCTTCCTTGGAGAAAAATCTTCCACGTATTGTCAATAGCACTCCAGATACCACATGATCCTGGATAAGACCCAACAATGGTGTTCCATCCTTTGGTACCAAAAAATTCGATCCGACATTCGCTAGAAACAAAAAAAATGCGGTAAAAAAGGCAGCCTAAATAACGAAAAAGAAGCACTCATGGACTGGAAAAATTTCTTTAAACGCGTTCATTGATCAAAATGGAATTCTTGGAAAAATCTGCATCAAAAATCATACAAGTTCGTTTAAGAATTTGGTTCAAGACTAAATGAATTCCAGATTCCTCTTATCATCATGTGCTATGTCATATTTCGAAAGAGTACTTTCAGCAAACCATCGTATTCAAATTTTTTGGCGCACCAAATGTGAGGATTGGAAGAAACGGAAAACCAGATGCAACTAAAGCTCAATTAAGGTCTTTTTTTGCATTTATACTTTGAATAGAAAGGTCTATTAACAAGGGATGAAATAAGAAAAATCAAAAAGGAAGCTAGGGAATCAGAATTAGAAAATCGATAAAACTCTTATAATGGTAAGAAATGTTTCGGTCCATTAAGTCGTATATGAAGACAAGTAATAAATAAAAAGACGCGCACCGATTTCAGCAAGTTCAGTCTGCGCGATTCGATTTTGCACAAAATGCCCATTCATTTCGTCACCATCAAAATCCGCATTGTAGGCTTTACAGGGCGCATAATTGAGGCGCAGCGCTCGCTGTCCTTTGAGTACACGAGTTCGGTGACCCATCATCGATGGCTTATGCAGCGAAGGCTGCCGGTTCATCAGCATCAAATCACCACGGTCCAAATGTCTTAGCACCTTTAAAAACAATTTTTTTTTCCCGCAAAAATTTTATTACAGAAATTTTATTACAGTTTCCCCATAAAAATTTTATTACTTTTTGAGGATTAAGAAGTTTTTAGAGACATCTGTCGATAATACTTTGCTATATTCTTCCTCAAAACTACTCAATTAAGTTTGTTCTGCATTTTTTCTTCTTATGGTCAACCCCAGCTATTCTACCCCACTTTCTACTTCTACAAATTTCCAAATCACGCACTTCATCCCGTACGAAAGGGTACGAAAGTGACGATTTTCAACATACTGGTAACACTCCCTGAAAGCCCCCTAGCGCCATAAACACACTACGTTTCATTCAGTCCAGTTAAGCTTGGACTGTACGAACAAATGTCAGCCTGATCAGCAGTTGGTACTACAGTAAAAGTCATGCAGATACCGAAAAAACGTAAAACGCAAATAAGAAGTTGTGTTAAGCAGCGTTACACAAAAAAAAAACCCCCAACTGATCAAAGTACCGAAATTAAGCTCTAAAACGCTAGCCGATTCTGTTAGTTAAGAGGGGAAAACCTGTAAAAATCACCTGAAATGGATATGGTAGCCGCGAGCTATCGCCCGGTTGAAGCCGCTTTGCAGCTGCATTCCGCTCATTGCATTTTTGTTTCGATAAAATCTGTGTAAATCCACCAGGTTTCTGGATGAAATTGGCACTGAAAAAATTACAAAGTAATTTTGAAAATGAAGCTTCTTTAAAAAAAAAAATATATGCAAATTTCTTGGCTGGAAAGCGATCTCAGAAGGGATAAAGAGCTGAAACTTTGCAGTGATATTTCCTGTGCATGTGTTCGCTTTGCGTCACATAAAAGTCACTAAGCACAGTGAGCTAGTTGCTCTATTGTCATCGTAAAAGTAGTATATTAGTGAGCGACGCCAGTAAAAGGATAAAACCACTTGGACGGTTTTCGAAAATATTGAA